AAAAAGAAAGAAAGAAAGAAAAAAGAACAGTTAGGGATCGTAAAAAGTGGGACAGAGAGGAAGGAATGTCGGATTGGCCATATTAACATCTACAATTTTCACCACTTTTTTTTTTAGACGAGATATTTTAATCTTATTTTTTGTCTCTTTTTTATATTGTATAACCAATAAATGTATTGAAAATGTAAAACCGTGTCATTTCGTTGTCGAACACTATCATGGGAAGAGGTAAAAGGAGATTTGATCCCAAGACGGACCTGGCTATCTTCAAGGCAGTAAAAAACAAACAGGAATGAAGAGAAATTCGGCGTTTTTGAGAAAGTATTGTCTAAAATGTGGAAAAACAATTGGCAAGAAGAGTGCATAAAAAGATTAGACGTCGGAGATAAAAGCATCATTTTAGACATACTCTTGTTCTGTGGAGAACGGGAAAAAAAAACATGTCGGCTTTTGCTTATCTTCAGAAAGATTACGACAAGATTCAACAAAAAAAGAAATTAGAAACCGATTTGGTGAAAAACTTGAACAAACCTAACAGTAACAAAAAACGCAAGAGAGAAGATCATGTCGACGACACGACGGAAAACGAAGCAGACGATGAAATGGTGAAAATGGTGAAAAGACTAAAGAAGACCAAAAAGAGATTTGGCAGCCAGAAAGAAAATCGAACATGAAAAGGACAGAGAAACACTGCAGACAAAGAAGAAAATGCTTTTGGAACAGAAAAAGCGTTTGACAGCCATGAAAAAACAAAACTTTTCAAGTCTAAAAAAAAAACAAAATTCTCTAAGCGATGAAGATGAAAAGAATACGACCCTTCTTCTTTCTTCATCATCGACAGAAAGAAGAAGAAGAAGAAGAACAAGGTGACGAAATGGAAAATATTGCGGATTACATCGGTTATTTGGAGGATGGGATAAACCAGGCCAATGCCAACATCAAAGCACAAGAGAAGAGATGTTTAAAACTCTTTTTAATATCAATGTGGACGAAGAGATGGAAAATAGAAGCGAAGAATTATTACAAGCGGATGAAGAGGCCCAACGAAAACGTAATGCTGCAGCGGAAAGAGCTTTCAATACACTCAAGAGGGTGAGCGAATTGAGGATGAATTAAAACAACACGACCAATTCAAAGCGGTCATGAAGTCCATGTTGGGTGACAGAGGCGTCTACGGAGAAAACAAAGGATAAAAAAGAGGCGGCAAAGAAAACAAAATCAAAACCATCCAAGGCATCAAAGAGTGAAGAACTGAAGAAGAGAATCAGGACACGTTATTGGCGGACGCTCTGGCAAAATTAGAGAAGAAGAAGAATAGAAAACGAAAGAAGCAAAATAATTAGACCTCAACTTTATTTTTTTTTATCATGCCTGAAAAACGTGTGCATGCTGCTGCCGTGGAGGAAGACTTAGAAGTAGTGGAAGAAAACTTTTCAAATCTGGCGAAGAAACCAAAACTCTAGATGAGACTTGGGAGATTATTTTCCCGTTCGCATCAATCCAGAACCTTTAGCTGCTGGCGAAAATGCTAAGATATTGCGATTTGAAGTCAAATCGAGAGGTGACACGTTTCTAATACCGGCCAAACACATCCGTCTACACGCTGCTTTCATACTAGACAGAGATGGGGCAGGTGCTAGATTTGACGATCCTCACGCTAACGGTCGTGCCAACGGTGCAGATCATTACGGCCGATTTGTGAATGGATTGAAGTACAAGGCAATCAAGAAAATCCGAGTGAAACCGGGAGGTCTTCAAGACATAGAACAAGTCGGTGACCATTTGAATTGTAAAGAGTGGCTGAATTTCCTGGCTTTCTACAACAAGTACGAGAAGAAAAATAAGGCAAAACGGAGAAATGATTTCTTCGAACCAGATTTGGTGGGTTCTCACTGGGAAAATGCAGTGGGAGTCACTCTGACAGATGCACAGATCAGGGCAGTCACTAATGACAAGAAAGGATTGGATGCCATGAGAAGGTTGGAAAAGAGATGTTTTGATGAAGATCCCATACACATGGATTTTCTCCTCTTCCTGGAGAATTTTGTCAGATAAACAGTGCAACAACAAGTTTTTTAATGGCACAATAGAAATAGAATTTGCTTCAAATCAGCAAATGATTATTGCCAGACAAGGTGACGATACTGGGTTGGGAACGGTAGAGCAAGGCCATTATCGGTTGGATCGTGCCAACTGTTATCTGGAAATATTGTACATGCAAAAAAGCAGATCCAAACGAAAATGCAGACATTCAAGATGCCATGATAAATCACGGCGCTCAGACGTTCACTGGCACGGACAAGTTTCACCTGATGGTGAGTCCCCCTTTTCGTCCAGTTGTGGGCGATAATCTCATTCAACGCTGGCACACGCTGGACTACAGAATTCCGAACAGAGGCTTCATAGGAATCATCAGCAGAGCAAGTCTAATAGATGGTGCTTTTGGAACAGACATGTTTCAATTTCAGCCCTTCAACTGCGATTATGTGCAGGTATTTGTGGACGAAAAGAACATCGTCCGAGGAGACAGGATAGAGTGGAGAGGAGATAACACACAGAGGAGGGAGTTGTTTTATCAGAGTCAGTGCGATGCAGTGGCTCGATATCACAACGATATAAGAGACAACATCTTCAATCTCGATCCAGAAGCTCTTCCCCGTTCCATGTGGCTGTGGTATTACGAGACGACTGCCAATTTCGAAGCAGGTTTGGCCAACGCTCTTCAGAAGATAGAAAAGACCTTCCGAGCCAATCTACACTTCACTCAAGCCAGTAACGACGAACATTACCTGTGCATCTTCTATGTGGCAAAAGATCAACTGACGATGATGGATGCAACACACAACGGTTGGGGAACTGTACAAGAGATGCAATTACCTCTCACCCAACCCAACTACATCACTCTGACGAGGCACGGACAGCAGCTTTAAAAAAAAAAAAGAAAGATAGAAACATGCATTTTACTCAGCAATTGGAAAAAGTCGGACAAAGAGATCAGCATATATCCAAACATTTTTTAGGAGTGTTTGCAGCAGATCAGATACCTCTAGGTAAAACAGGATGTTGTATCGTCAATACGGATCCCATAAGCAAGAGTGGTCAACACTGGGTGTGTGTTTTTACGGGAGGAGATGGAAAAAAGAATTTTTATTTCGATTCTTATGGTCTGCCTCCCACCCATTGGAACTCGCATTGGGCTCCTTTCATGAGTTACATTCGTAGTAACGGCGATTTTCAACAAGAAACGAGCGACGTTTGCGGAGATTATTGCGTGTACGTTCTCAAAAAATTGTGTTCTATGCCCACGCCCGACTTACAAGAAGTGGTAAAGTATTTCGATGAAGACGATAAGAAAGGAAACGATGTTCTAGTCTTCGATTTGATTCACAAGGAATTTCCTAGGATTTTGAATGATACAGATCACGAGTTAAACGTAGATTACGATAATTTTAAGAAAAACATCAAATCTCGGCAACAGGGTAGTAAGCCTAGGAGAGTGTTACAGTTGTTAGATTGAAATAAAAAGACTCGTTTGTAAGTAAAACACCCAGTTGCTTTTCTGTCTGTCTCATTGTTTGTCCCGTCTATCACCATGTCTCTTTCCACACTGACAGAAAGAGCAAAATTCGTCCAACCTTTCACGATGGCCTTGTATGGAAGCACGAACACGGGAAAGACCAATTTCGTGTTAAATTTGTTAAAAAATTTGGCATTGTTGGTGGATAAAAAAATGAGGACGATCATATACTGTTATGGTTCGACTTGGCAAAGTCCCATATTCGACGAAATGGAAAGTATGGGAGTATTGATGCACAAGGGTCTTCCGGAAAAGATAGAAGATCTGTTACAAGACAGACCCACTCCTGCAATTATGATATTTGACGATCTCGAAACGGACATAGAAAAAAGTTCCATGATGGCTGATTGTGTGAAAAGAACAGCCACCACATGGACGTTTCCATCATCATATTGTATCAATCCCTATTTCCTCTGGGAAAAGAGCGAGACAAATCAGACAGAATATAAACGTGATGGTATTTTTCAAATTTTCCATGGAAATAAGATCTTTGAAATTACGATTCAGTGGTTTCGTTCCCACAGACAGGATGATGGATTTCGTGAACCACATCTACATGCCGTGGGTTTCGAGAGAAGGAGGATTTGTGGTGGTGGACAAACACCCAAAACAGAAAAAAGAATTAGAATACCAATGTATTCGCACAAACATATTTCCCAACGAAGGGTATAAATATCGGTTTTGCGAGTTGGTGGGAATTACACCACCTCCTCCCGCCATGTCGCGAAAATTCGTGCGAAAGAGTGGACCGGATACTTCTCGTAATCAGAAAAGGTTTCACAGACCCATAAGGGATCCACGACTGAGGAGGCTATATAAGGGATATGCAGACGACATTTATATGGAAAACTGGAAAGAACCCCACACCCAGAGAGAACACGTTCACACGAAAATACCCGTCAACAATTTCGAACGCATGTATCTGAGACATGTCCACAGACGCGGAAAAAGATAGGTTTTACGAGAGTTACGAACAAATTAGACAATTTGTCATCGATGGAACGCTCTTGGACGGAGATGCACTATTAGGACTCTGCGATCTCTTTTACAACTACAAAACTTTAAAAGTGGTGAAGACGACCATAGATAAAGAAAAGTGTATAGAACTTTTGGCTCAGACGACCAAACAGGCGAACTTAGAAGTGAAGAAACAAGCGCTGAAACAGTGTAAACAAAAAGCGAGAGAATTGGCAAAGTATCTCATTTCTCTTCATCTGCCGGACGACGCAAGCGACGATGAGTTATAAAGAAAGATTGGACAAGATAGATCTGTACAACAGTAACAAGATCAAGGAGTACGTTTACTTGGACGGAAACGATTTGGATCGTTTGAAAAGTTCTATCAAGATGCAACAGAGTGGTAAAGGGATGAATCATGCCGACACCAAATATGCAAATGTTGGATCTCGCAAAGTCACTCAAGGAATAACGGGAGTGGACATGGAAGATGACGAAAACGCACCCATAATGGCGGCTCACAAGAAATACAGAGGGTTGGGAAAAGACGACTTATTAAAAGCAATCTATCGTCTCAGAACTCTAAACGTCTATTTCAAAAACCTTCGAAAGGGAAAAAACAATCCCGAAAAACTGAAACAATCGGACATAGTGCGACAGATACGAGCTTTAACGAAAAAATACGGAAAAGAGATTCTGGGTCTGGGAATAAGTATCACAGATGCCGCCAATATCTTTCCAGGCATGCAGAGAATAGTGGATGCTGCCAAGCCCCTAATACAAGGGGGAAGAGCGATTCCTGTACATCAGTCTCTACCGAGTAGTGGTAGCATTGCTAGAAGTCTTAGTACTGGTTATGACAGTGTACATTCGCGAGCACTAAGTGAAAGATCTTTTGAGTCTATGGGACTGGACGATATTAGAAGATATATTAACGATCAAAACGAATTGAGACGATATGGCTATGGGATGGCAGCCCCTTCTGTTTCTTCAACCGGTTCTTCAAGTGGATCGAATCCAACTCATACATCAACCGCTCACGACAGCGATGAAGAATCTGACGGAAGTTGGGGCACTACCTAAGAGAGCGACTCGGAAGAATGGTTAACTGGAGATGAAAATGTTATACCACAGTCACTGTTATATACACCGCCAGAAAGTGAAGGAAGTGAAGTTTCTTTTCATCCGAGATGGGAACATAATCCAACCTATCAACCACCTCAAACCGCAAGAAGAAAGAGAAAAGAATAGGAAAAACAATAGTTTAATTCCACTTCCGGTATTCGCCAAAGAATGGTGCAAAGTGTGATGCCAAAAATAAAACGTAATTAAGTAGGCCGCATAAAAAATGTTTGCACAACCAAAGCATTTGTTCATTAACTTTTATTTACCTTTAAACCGTAGATCAAGTAAACAAATAAATGAAAAATTTTTTCCTTAAACAAACTTCATGGCAGCCAATTAATTACTTTTTCAGCACGTTTTTACATTTTCTTTAAACAAACTTCATGGCAGGCAATTACTTTTTTACGCACAATATGATTTCAAAAATAACCTAATTTATTATTCATGAAAATACAGTGGTGTTTTTGGCGCCAAAAGGAGAGTATATATTTAACCAATAAAAAATTCATTCTTTGTCACTCGCATATTTTTTGGACGTGATAACAAGAAACTGAAAAAAAAAAACAAGACCTAAAAGACCATGGCATCTTACATGGACAATGAAGCAATAGTGGATGAAACCTTTGATGATGAAGCTAGAGACAGACCTCTTGCAAATAAACAAAAAGGAAAGAGAAAAAGAAAGATTCCTCCCAAATCTGCAGAATTTGTTCAAGACAGCGACGACGAAACCTCCATAGAAGCAATCAAGCGCAACGTGGTCGAAAAAGCAGAGACTGCAGCAAACGAGCAGTACGATGAAGATGCAGACGATGGTGCAGATTTGCAAGATTTCATCGAGCCCGACGAAACGCCGAAAAAGATAAAATCTACTCCGACAGCTTTGGACATAGCCGAACGACAGCTGAAGAAACAAGAACCACCAGTGGGACGTTACAAGAGACGCCCGCGCATTGAGGAAGACGATGATAGTGAAGTAAAGCCAAATCAGACTCCCCCAACCAAAAGAAGGAGAATGCTGGAACCAAAAAGTCTGCACATGCCAACGGGCAGCCAACAGGTTGTTGATGATGATGATGATGATGATGACTACGATGCATTTGCTGTTACCGTTCATCAACCAGCCAACAGTCCCGAAAGCGAGAACGAATTTGGAGGAAATGATGATGAGTTCGACAAAGGAGATGAGCCCATCCCTTGCCCCATCTGCGAACACAATCTGATAGTTTTTCAGACAAAGACTGGGGACGACGGGATAACCTGCAGCAACAACAACTGTGCAGTGAAATTCATCTGCAACGCAGATATAGGAACTATACTCTGCAACATGGAAAACGACATCCATCCCACCTTCAAAGCACCCAACCTACTGGCACGTTGCAACGTACACAACGAGGTAATGAAGATGAGCAATGTGCCAAAAGATTTCCAACCCCAAGAATACATTGGGGACTTCATGCTGGAATGTTCCAAGAACGTGAAGGACGGAAAATGTGAAAATGTTCTCTACATGCAGAAAGATCGTTTTAGCAAAGCCCAACAAGGTTTTCAAAACGCTTTCAAACGTATGAAAATAGCCAAGAAAGAGATGCAGCGAAAAACAACGAACCGCATCAGATCGAGTTACAGAGAAGCCCAGATAACATACCACGCGAGAAACCAACCTCAAGACCATCAACAGCAGCCACGACGACGACGGGAAATTTTGAAAACTTCCAGCATGAGCCGTATGAC